GATGCACAAGTCAGCTGCAGATCTGGGGTTTAAACCCAGGTATATACCACACCTGACCACCAACCGTGGAAGGTCTTCAACTGGACACCATGCAATGATGCTGCAACTGAACCTTGTAGAGCAGAGAAAATGTATGAAAAGAGTTAAATCATAGTATAAGTAACAACAGGTGAAAGTTTACTAAATTAGCTAGATATGTATTTTCCAAAAACATCCTGCAAAAATTAGCTAAAGGGCACCAACTACACGTCAGATAAGAGTCCTATAAAAAAATACACATGGGAAACTCTGGATAAAACACAATGCAGTTAACACACAGTAAATGTGTATTAGGTTTCTCAGAGATTTTAATTTGAAAATGTGCATTGCATCCCTCCATGAAGGAGATAGATCATTCACTATTTTCCAACTTACTAGTATTTCAGAACAGAAAACCCTGGCACACGTTTTTTTGTGTGGTATGAATATTCCATGGAACAGAGGTAGATCATGACATTCAATTGCCATTCAGTGCCAATGAGCTCAAGTTGCCCAACTGCACCTGCTACGGTACCAATAACAGCTCCTAACACAAATGAGACAAACTATGTGTTGACTCCTGGGGAAAAGCCTACATTTGAAAGACCTATGATCCCAAGAATTGGATTTTTAAATATCCCATCCAGAAAGCTAAAACCAATTCTCTTTCCATGACAGTTCTTCCTCTTTCAATTCCAAACTGAAACCAAAAGCTGTTGGCTCAAACTGTCATCATTTACTCTTACTCCTTAAGACCCATTGGATGTGGGTTAAGACAATAGATCTGAGACAGACAATGAAAAAAAGTTCATTTTTTATTCAAAGCTTTATTTTTCTAATCTGAGCACAGCATTTTTTGACCCAAGAAAAGCAATTAGAAATGTATATAAATACTGAAATACAAGAATAAACAATGTCCACAAACTATGATGGGTTCAATGCTAACATAGAAATACAGATACCTTAAATACACATCCCCAATTAGAAAATAATGTGTTAAGGTGAAGTCATGGACTGAGAAATATTGGAAGGAGTAGCAACAGAAGATATACACTCCCAAAAGGAAGAGATGTCTTATGTTTATTTCCCCCTCAGTGTTCTAGACTTGTCTTAAAATACATAAGGAAATAGGAGAAGGAATTCTCTCCCCACTCCTAGTAGCCAGGCTTTTATTTCTAAGGTTTGGTTTGAAACAAAAAGTCCTTTTATCTAGTGTGTGGGGAGACAGAAAGAGGTGAGGAAGAGAGAGAATTCCAGAATGACTATCGTTTTTGATGATCTAAGAATGTCAAGGGAAGATTTCAGAAACTCTTATGCAAGAGGGAAGTGACCCAAGAGTGGAGAAGGGGTGGAATGGGTACAGGGGTTATATCCCCTTGTTCTGGAAAAAGACAAGGAGTGTTGTAGTTCAGGAATGGCATGCTACTTGCAAGCTGTGCCTGAGAGATGCCAAGACTTCAAATGGTAGGTGATGCCCACAGAAACAAGACAGAGGACCAGGGCTTGGACAAAGCAGCAAAGTTCCCTGTAGCTAAGCCAGTAGCAACACAGAGAAAGAGAGATGCAGAGTCATCCTAGTGGCTAGCCCAGAGCAGCAGTGTCTCTGAGACAGAAGAGCTCTGCACAGCAAAGGGGACAGGAGGACAATGGGGACCAGTGTCCGTTAATAACCAGAGGTCTCTCCTCCCCATATCCTGATCCCTAAGCTCCAAGGTCACATACACCCCAGGGTTCTAGCACAACAAAAACTGATACCTGACTTCTCATTAACTTCACTCAGAGAAGCCGTCTGCAAAATTCTATCTGAACTTTTAAAAAATAAAGATACAATATAAGTTATCCACCAAATTTCTGGAGGAAAAAAAAATTAGATTGCTAAAGTCCTATGCTGCTTTTCCTGAGGAAAGGCCTTCTCTAATGCTTCTACCCAATTATATTTTGAAGAATCTATAACAATTTCAACTGAGGCCTAATTCTGAGTTTGACTTCATTGAGAGACATTAGAATCTTGGGAAATAACAGCCCACACAGCCACTGCCCTAAATATTTTTCACTTAAAGTTGCCACATTCCACTTTTTTGTGTTTTCTTATATGGCCCAACTGCTGGGCCATATCATCATGGCATCACTGCCGAGTCTAGCATAGGGGGGCATCAACCACCATCTGAGGTCTTCCTAGTAGCATCTCTCAGGTATCGCTTGCACGTAGCATGCCATTCCTGAACCACAACACTTTTACCCTCGTTTATTCTTGAAACACAAGAGTTTCTAATGTCTTCCCTTGAAGATGTCCACCGACAAAGCTTTATATCCCCCTCCGTGGGACCCTAAAAGCTCCTCCAGACTGTCATCTTCATGTGGTGATGAACTCAGTGGGTAAGAGACAGGCCCTGGAATCAGACATGTCTTAAGAGATCTGTCACAGTCCAGCTGAATGACCTGTGATACCTCGCTTCACCACTTTAACTCTGAGTTTTCTCATCAGTTAAATGGAAACATTGATAGTAGCTACCTGAGAGGACGGTAGTGGGGATACAATAGGATAATGTTAAAAAGCTCTAGGCACAATGTTTAGCTCATTATCATTACATGAGAATGGTAGCTATTATTAGCAATAGAAATCTAAGCCACTGAAGAAATGTTCAGTTATTACCATAACTGCCTTCCAGCAGTACTTTAATGACTAGTAATGTGGTAAGTGCCGCATTTAATGTTATGAATTAGATGGCTTCTAAGTTACTTAGATCTATTAAGTTTCTTGTGAGTTTTAAAATAACTTGTCTTTACTACTCAAAGAAAAAGTCACTTATCAGAGGCCACACCTTCCAGAGTGATATAAGTATATATGCAGAAATACCTGCAAATTAGATTTCAGACAAAATGCCAAGATAAAAAATGTCCCATCTGTCACATAAGTACTGTCATTGTTAGGGTTTAATTTTTAAAGTAAGCTGTATCATTTTTTAAAGTAATAACTAATAGTGACTTGATTATTAGAGTTTTTAGAAAAATTATTGCTGGACTGTCAGATTCATAATTAACTGTGAGAGATTATAGTAAATAATGAGCAAAGAATGTCCTTGGCAACATTCAAATAGAAATGATGACTATTCAGACATCAATTCTGTAACAGATTTCTTAACACTTGGGCAATAAATTTAATCAGTGGTGTGCTGGTAAATGTTTAATAACCAGCTCCCAAGGGAATGGAGGTCCCTGATTTGTAGTGTTTGCCAATTTCCGTGGTGTAAAATCCTCCACCATGACCCATTTCATGTCAGCACCAGCACATCACCTAGATATGGAGTAGTATTCGTAATAGCTAGGTAGGTCACCTCAAAGGGGCTGTTTACATGGGAACCAAGGAATTAGCTCAACAAGTAAAACGTAAACATAGATTAATGTTATACAAGTTTTCTAGGAAGGTGACTGAAGCAATTTTACAATGAGCTAACACCATAGGTATTATTCGCAATCCTTCCTCACAGAGCTGATCCTCTCTCTACAAGTGGCTGCATACATCTCAGTCTTGTATCATCTTCTTCTATACTGACCCCACTATACTCTTAAAAGTCTTACTGGACTAAACTCTTTATCTGGATAGGGGTTCCTCTCTGTATTCATTTAATATCATTCATCAAGAAATAATGGTTTTCTTCCCTGATTTCCCCCATACGACTATTGCATCTTCCCATCTCCCTTATTTCAGTAAACCCACCACCCAGGAACAGAGACACATTCTCTATGAACAGAAGGGATTCACTGTCATTTAATCATTTGCTTATCTGCTCTTTCATTTGGGAGCAGAAGAACTAAGCTTTTAGGAATTCCATTTGGAAAGCTGTAGGAAAGCAAAATAACTTCTTTTGTCTTACTTCCAGCTTTGAACTCGTCTATCCCTAGACTACTTCACTGCAGGAACTTGTGACTCACCAAATTAAAGGATTAAGAAAGTAGAGTTTATAAGTAAAAATAAATGTTAACAACATATTTCTCTGTTAATTCATAATGTTGCACTTCAAACCTGCTTAATTGCTAAAAGACAAACTGTTGAATATGACAGTCATCAATTCTACAATCTCTCTGTAGGTTACACTAAAAAGGAAAATTACATTATTTCTATGGCTACAAACAAGAAATCCATTGCTAGACGAAAGAGTTCTGTGGATGGATGTTGGTAAATGTACTTAATGCCTCTGGACTGTACACTTAAAAATGGTTAAGGTGGTAAAGTTTATATTATGTGTAATTTACCAAAAATGTTAAAACTTTTTAGAAATTTAAAAACAGACATCTATTAAAGAGAAATTCTGCCACTCTGCCCTTCAGAATTTCAAGTACACAAAACAGTACAACACTTCTCCACAGTCTTGCCAACAAATAAGTCAAACAGAGAAAGACAAACATTATATGATTTCACTTATATGTGGAATCTAAAAAACAACAACAACAACAAAAAACAGACTCATAGATATAGAGAACAAAATGATGATTTCCAGGGGGAAGGGGGTGGAGGATGGGTGGAGAATGTGAAGGGTAATAAGAAAAACAAACTTCCAGTTATAAAATGTATAAGCTCCAGGGATATAAAGTACAGCACAGGAAACATAGTCAAAAATATCATAACTTTGTATGGTGACAGATAGTTATCAGACTTACTGTGGTGATCACATCATAAGGTATATAAATGTAGAATCACTATGTTATACACCTGAAACTAATATAGTATGGTATTTCAACTGTACTTTAATAAACATTTTTAAAAGACAGTATACCAGATTTTTTAAAAATAAATAAAATTAATATCCTTTACAATTGCCTGTGTTTTAAAAAAAAAAAGGATGATTTTACTCTGCTAGACATTAATGCTACATGTTCTTTTTTTCCAAAGGTCTCATAGTCATTACAATTAACTGATATGGGCTGATATGAAGGAGGAATGGTTTAATCAGGAAAACAAGAGGTCAAAAAGGGAAACATACTGCATTCTTTGCCTCTCACTGGGTCAGGCAGGCCAGAGCAGTCCACTGCAGAATTCGGAATGGCAACTCTCCACCTGGAGCCACTGCTATCACATTCCGTATATTCAAAGTGGTAATCTTTCTGCAAACAATTACAAAAACAAGCCTTTGTTAGAGCCACTTTCAAAGGGACAACTGTGCTTTCTCCATCACCCCGAAACCTACAAGCCTGATTCCAAACTTTACTCTCTGGTTGACTCTCCTTCTTCCCCCACTCAAGCCATACCAAGTAGTTGTTTTTTATGGGTGTGTGTTTTTTAATAAAAAATGCATCATGCCAGGCACTAATTAGGCACTAAGGAGGTGATGAGGGACCGGATAGTCAATGCTCTCAAGTTGTGTCCACTGACCTTGTAGTCCAGTGATTTCCAAAGTGGGCGCTACCGCCCCCCGGTGGGCGCTGCAGCGATCCAGGGGGGCGGTGATGGCCACAGGTGCATTTGGGGACGATGAGTAACTGCTATTAAAATTTTTAAAAAATTAATTTCCAGGGGTTGAGTAATATTTTTTCTGGAAAGGGGGCGGTAGGCCAAATAAGTTTGGGAACCACTGTTTTAGTCTCACCCACCCCAAAGAGGCTACAGCATATTTCCCTATTTCTTTAGCAGGTTTTGAGAGCTCTAAATAATTGAGATAGGCATATTAGAGCAAAATAACACTAGGAAATTTAATGCTGTCACTGCCCCAAGTTTTTCAAAGAAAGAAATAAGAGGACCACTCCCACTGACCTAATTCTCACTCTGTTTAAAATTTAACAGAGGTGTAATAGTTAATTATCCCAATGCTGGTAAAAGACTACCAGTTTTTCAAGCAGCTCTCCCAGGCTCCATACACACACACCACAGCAGGCTGCCATCAATCACAGACTATAAAATAAACATTTATAATTGCCATATTAAGACCAATCCACTTGTCTCTGGCCTTTGGTTGCTTTGAAATTTTCACAGTGCCCTCCATTGGTCAGAGAACATTACACACGTGAGATGCCTGAGCTTAGAGGAACAGGGACAAAATGCCATTGGAGCATTTGAACAATGAGAGAAGTTCTAAGTCCTCCCCAAAATATTTTCAGTTCAATATCCTATTAATTCAATTCAATAGCTAGGATGTTGTTATTCTGCTTCATCCACCCTATTTGCCTCCTTTACTGTATCAATGACAGGAGAGAAAAGAAATGTCAAGTCACACCACCACTTGGGAAATCAGGTGCAGGAGGCAGGGAGTTACCTTGGTTGTGTGTGTTGTCCACATGGCAAGAACACCAGTTAAGAAATGGGTTCTGAGATTCACAGCCCATTCCTCCACATACAACTTATATGACATTGGGCAAGTTACTGACTTCTCAAAGCAATCATTTTTCTCATTAGTGAAGTTAAAATAATAATATTTACTATCTTGTATGGTTATTGTAGAAATTAACTGAGATAATGCATGTAAAATGTCAGGCATGTTAGGCTGCACTGAGTTAGCATTTGATCAGGAAAACAAATGGTCAAAAAGGGAAACTATTTGAAATGGTAGAATTCTAATGGTAGAATTATTATCATTATTAACAACAATAAGGAGAGAGAGGATGATATAGAGAAAAGAGCTAGTGGTGATATGGTAAGGACAGACCACCTGGGTTTCTGTTTCCCCTGCTTCAATTTCTGCATATACGTAAGATAAAATGAGAAGTTCACTGAATTTGATTACATACAATTATTGAACATAAAATTCATAAACTGAAGTAATGGTAAACAACAACAACAAACTGGTGAAGGAATAACACAAAACAGAGGTTCATTAGCTTAAGAATATTGGGTTTCTAAAAGTCAGTAAGGAAAAGGACAAATACTATTTGGAAATATAGTCAAAGAACGCAAGCAATTTATTAAAGAACAATACAAATGGTCAAGGAATATACAAAAAAAATGTTAAACCTTGTCAAAGAAATACAAATAATAATGTTCATCAAGTTGGTACAACATTTAAAATACTTTTTTCAAAACTCTCTAATGTAACTATAATAAAATGAGCATTTGTGTGTTTCCAATGAGAGAGCAAAGTGGTACAGGCTTTCTGGAGAGAAGTTTGTCTATATGAATCCAGAACTTTAAAGTGTTCAAACTTTTGAACCCAAAATCTCACTTCCAGCATCTAATTTAAGGGGAGGAAATGTTTGATGTGGTCAGTGATTTATGTGCAAAACTGCTCATCATAACTTTAGTATAGCTAGGGAGAGCATGCTGAATTGTTAAGCATTAAAGAATCTTGCATTTACATTATTTATTTGCTATTTTTCATATGTATTTACATCATTAAATACCTATAACAATTATGTGATTTAGGAAGAAGAGTTCATATTATTCCCATCATGCAAATGAAACTCAGATTGGTAAATAATTTACCCAGAGATACCCAGCTAGTAAGGATCATCGCCAAGAGCAGAAGTCAAGCCTTCTGTTTATTTACAAGCATTTTCAGTTTACATAATGCCATTAACCTTAAAATAGAAGGTTACTGTTTTAAAATAGAAGGAGTGGTGACAGTTCCTAATGTAAAAGCCTGATGGCTACAGAAGTCTAACAGTAATCATAAAGATGTCTTATATTCAAAGAGATTCAAGAGTACAGAGATGAGGGAAATGATTCGATTTCTCTCTATTTCTGTATTTGTTTTCTGTGGCTGCTGCAACTAATTACCACACTTAGCCACTTACAATAATAAAAATGTATCTTTTCACAGTTCTGGAGGCAAGAAGTCCAGTAAACATTGAGCACTTAAACAGATCCCTGGAAATGGAATTTTCTGGGTGATAAGGAATAATTAAAAGAAGGTAAAAAAATTTTCTCATACAAATATAAAATTACTGCATTTCACAGATTTTATTTAAATCATTCATTAGCACACTGATCAGTAAGAAGGTACCACCAGTTCAAAGAAGAATTCAAACACACATGAACAGGCAATCCAGAAAGTGAAATGAATTGACTTAGAGATGCAGAACTGGTAAATAAATACCCACAGCATAATAATCAATTGCATTCCAAAGGGTAAAATGTCTTTTCATTTCTATGGACAAGAGTAATTTGTATTCCTATTGGTTTCTTACACCTTACAATGTTGTAAAATAGCTCAAAGAAAAGGACAGAATCAGGCCCCTATAGAAACTGAACCAGGTGCACTAAACATGACACCCGGGAATCTTTTCTGCCTATTTCAACATGTTTCAAATTTTCCCTGACAAGGGTGGAGATTCCTGATAAATTTTCCTGCACTTCAGTGTTCCTGACAGTTTATCACCAAACATACTGATATCAGTCAGAGTGCACTCTATAAACAACAGAATGTCCACTCACTATCCACATTATAAATTGAGGAAGTGGTTGGCCCTACCCCACTCAAAAGATGGCAGTTACTAGTATTTATACATGTCTGCAAATCACAGAATGCTGGGGCACAAAGACCCTGCACCGAATAACAAAATGATGGAATTCCCTGAAAACTTTACATTGCAAATATGCGGGGACCAGGAAACAACCCCAAGAGAATAATTACTCCTCATCACCAAACACTTAGGGAAGACTACCTTCAATAGAAATCATGGTAAAACACACACAACCACACATTCACAAATAAAGATATGGGCACGAACTCTCAAATAACAAAAACTCAAATTGTGTTATCTTACGATACCTAAAACACAAATTACCAGGGTACACCCAAATAAACATTGGATGTCTACAGTACCCCCAGACAAAAACTCTTTCCTTGACCAATGTTTAGTCAGGCTCTCTTCCCAATGAATCTTTGATTTGGGGGCTTTCATATTCATCTTTGCATCACGCAGTTTGGCAAGAATCCTGTCATGTCAGTTTAGCAGAATTCCTCCTTTAGTTCTGATGTTTCCCCTTAGTAATTTTCCATCCACTGACCTTCACCTGCTCCTTGCCTATAAATTCCTGCTTGTCCATACTATATAGGAAATAAGTCCAGTTCTGTACTGAAACCTCTTTTCCCCAATAGATTCCTGAATAAACTCTGTTTTTATCACTTTACTGACCAGCTCTGGTTTTTCTGAAGCCCCCAAACACAAAGGTAATTTACAATATGAAAACCTCATGGTAATCATGGAAAAAGTGGGTTATATCTCCCAATTTTGACAGTTGTTATAGTTTAACTTCATATAGGCTACACAATGTTTCAAATAAGTCACATAAAAATAATATGCATATATAGATATCTTGACAGTATATTGACAATATACATATATTATTTGATATATTGATATTAATATATAATATATAATTATTTATGCATCTAGCAATAAATTGTTTTGTATAGTAACATTACCATTTATCATTATTTACTACTAGAGGCCTGGTGCACAAAAATTTGTGCACTCAGGGGGGTCCCTCAGCCCGGCCTGTGCCCTCTTGCAGTCTGGGACCCCTCA